AATTATATATTCAGCAAAATTGCCTCTCAAATATGATGGCAAAATTAGGATATTCTCAAATAGACAGAAATTAAAGGAATTTGCAAGAACCAGATTAACTTTACAAGAAATGCTAAATGAAGTCCTTTGGATAGAGAACCAACAATGGCAGACAAAAAAACAGAGATTAAGATACATGACAACATCAACCCAGATTTAGAAGTATCAAAAATAAAATAAACATACAAGACTGAAAATAGTGATATCAATTTGTAAAAGATGATAACTACAAAGTAAAAAGAGGAATAAATGATGTAGTTACAAAACTTCCAAATGAAGAAGTCAAGATGAAATAAAGATAGAACAGACTGCTTTAAACTTGGGAAGATGAGAGTAATACTCAAAGAAAATTAATAAACCTTCTCACCAAAATAAAAAAGAAGAAAATCATAAAGTCTCAATAAACACTAAAGCAATAGCAATGACATAAAGGATAAGAAAATCCACAAACAAAATGAACTTGCCACAGAAAAATAAATTGAAGAAATCATTAATACCACATACAAGAAAAACCCACAGAAAATAGCAGCAGTGAATTTGTATCTATTAATAATCACACTGAATGTAAATGGATTAGATGCACTAGTCAAGAGACAGAGAGGAGAAGAATGGATAAGACAACATGATCCATAAATATGCTGTCTGTAAGAGACATACTTAGATACAAAGAAAAAAATTAGCTAAAAATCAAAGAATAGAAAAATACATATCAAGGAAATGGTATCCCCTACCCCTCCCCCCAAAAAAACAAGAGTGTAAACATTAATTTCTCATAAAATAGACTTTAAGGCAAAAACAAGCAAAGGAGACAAGGAAGGACATTACGTAATGATAAAGGGTCAATCAAACAAGAGGACATGATCGTATTGAATATCTATACACCCAATGAAAGAGACCCAAAACACATAAATCAAACTTTAACAGAATTGAAATGAGAAGGAGACAACTCCATAGTAATAGTAGGAACCTTTAATAGACCACTTTCCATGAAGGACAGAACAACTAGAAAGAAACGTAACAAAGATACAGAAGAACTAATCAACACAATCAAACAATCTGGGCCTCATAGATGTATACAGAACATTCCACCCAACAAGAGCACAATATACATTCTTTTCCAGGGCTCATGAAACTATCTTTAGAAAAGACCATATGGTAGGCCACAAAGCAAGCCTCAATAAATTTAAAAATATCAAAATACTACAAAGCATCTTCTCAGATCACAATGCTACAAAATTAGAAATCAACAACAGGAATTTCAAGGAAAAAAAAATCAAATAAATGGAAAAGGAATAACACACACTTAAAAGCCACTACTAGAAGAATAATTTTTAAAGAAATAAAAAAAAAATTCCTTGAATCAAACAAAATGAAAACAAGACATACCCAAATGTTTGGGAGATAGCAAAAGGAGTGCTCAGAGAACAATTTATAGCAATAAGTGCACACATCAAAAAAGAAAAAGGAATCAAAATCAACACCTTAACTCAACATCTACAGTGACTAGAAAAAGAACAGAAAAAAAAGTCTACTGTCACCAGAAGAGAAGAAATAATAAAGATTCACGTAAAAATAAATGAAACAGAAAAACAACAGAAAGAATCAACAAGACTAGAAGTTGGTTCTCTGAAAGGATTAATAAAATTGACAAGCTACTGGCAAATTTAACAAAAGAAGGAGAAAATGCAAATAATATGAATAAGAAATGAAATAAGTGACATCACAACAGAACTTACTGGAATGAGAAGGATAATAACAGATTACTATGAAGAACTGTACTTCAAACAAATTTGAAAACCTAGAAGAAATAACAAGTTTTCTGGAAACACAATACCTACCCAACTAACACAATCTGGGTAGAAATTTTGAATAAGACCATTACAAAAGAAGAAATTGAACAGGTCATACAAAAACTCCCAACAAAAAAGTACTGGCTCAGATGGCTTCAATGGAGAATTCTACTAAACATTTAGAAAAGAGCTGACACCAATACTACTCAAACTATTCCAGAATATAGAAAAGGGATGGAATACACCCAAAATTCATTCTGCAAAGCAAACATAATCTTGATACTAAAACCAGGCAAAGACATCACTAAAAAAGAAAATTGCAGACCAATATTCCTCATGAACATTGGTCCAAAAATTCTCAACAAAACCTTAGCCAGTAGAATCCAACAACATATCAGACATCATGACCAAGTGGGATTCATATCAAGTATGCAAGGATGGTTAAACATTAGAAAAACAATCAACATAATCCACAATGTAAATAAAAGAAAGGAAAGAACCACATGATCATATCAATTGATGCAGAAAAGGCATTTGATGAAATCCAACAGCCATTCTTGATAAAAATGCTCAGCAAAATAGGAATAGAGGGGACATTCCTCAAAATATAATTAAAGGCATATACACAAAACCAATGGCCAACATTATTCTCAAAGGGAAGAGATTGAGAAGTTCCCCTTGTGATCAGCAACCTCACAAGGATGCTGCTCTTTGTCACCACTTCTATTCCATTTTGTATCGGAAATCCTAGACAGAGCAATAAGGCAAGAAAGGGAGATAAAAGCATTCAAATTGGCAAAGAAGTAAATCTATCTGTATTTGCAGATAATATCACCCTATACATAGAAAATCCTAGAGATTCAACAACAAAAGCACTGGAACTAATAGAAGAATTCAGCAAAGTGACAGGATACAGGGCAAACATACAAAAATCAGTTGGATCCTCTACACTAACAAAGAGAACTCTGAAATGGAAATCAGGAAAACAACACCATTTTCAATAACCAGAGACACAAAAGACATATACAAAGAAAACTAAAAAAAAACATTCATGTAAGAAATAAAAGAGACCAAAATAAATGAAAGAATATACCATATTCAAAGATAGGAAGACTTAGCATGTTAATACTACTCGAAGCAATCTACAGATACAATGCAATCGCAATCCAGAGTCCATCATCATTCTTTAAAGAGATAGAAAAATTAATCACCAACTTTATACGGAAATGAAAGAGACCCCAGATAAGTATAGCACTACTAAAGCAGAAGAACAGAGTAGGAGGCCTCATACCTCCTGATCTCAAAACCTAATATATAACCACAGTAGTCAAAAACAGCCTGATACTGGTCAAATGAGAAACACATAGACCAATGGAACAGAATTGAGAATCCTGTTGAGAGTGCAGCACCCTTCATAAATTCACTCATTCATTCTAATAATTAATTTGTAGACTTCTTGGAATTTTCCTATGAATACAATCATGTGATGTTACTATTTTCCATTTTTTCATACCTTTAATTTCTTTTTCTTTACCGAATTTTCTAGGACCTCCACTATAAAAGTGGATAGAAATATTAAGATAGTCTTGGGAGACATTGAGTTTATATTAAACTCAATGGTGGTGGAATATTCTGAGAAAGGATAGCTATTATGCTGGCACAACATGGAAAATATAATCAATGTCACTGAATTGTAAATGTGGAAGGTTGTACTGATATTTTAGTTCTCTAGTGTGACTGTCCAGTAACTCCTCAGAAGGAAGATGGGGCAATCTACTTCTGTAGTGATACTGCCTCAGAAACCCAAGGCGGGGTCGCTATGAGTCAGGTCCGACTCAACAGCACATAACAACAGTGTGACTGTAACAGAAATACCACAAGTCTGTCTCAACTAGTGAAGAATGTCTGCATTGAACATTTTGGTCTTTTAAGATCTATCTTTATGGGATCAGTTTGACAACAGCAACTTGAAAGTTTTAACTAGGGGGCAGTGAGTTCATGTTAATGGAGGAGGAACAACTCAGAAAAGGAAGGAGTGAATGACTGCACAACTCGAAGAATGTTATCAGTGTCACTGAATTGTCCATGTAGAAACTACTGAATTAGTGGTGTTCTATTTGCTGTATATATTCTCAACAACAAAAAAACAAATAAAATTAAAAAGAAAAACAAAATCTATGGGGCATTTCTAGTCTGTTTGCTATGAGTCTGTTCGCTATCAACTTGATGGCCCTCAACAAAGCAATAGGTATATATATATATATATATATATATATACACACACACACACACACACACACACACACACATATATATATATATATATATGTACACTTCTATTGATATAATAATATATAACAAATACTGCACATTTCACTAATATACACATATCTATATGCAAAGTTAAAAAAATATAATTAGATACAGTTTCATAGTAAACAATATTGTATGTTTGAAATTAACTTATATAGATATCCACAGAACCTAAATCAATATCCTCCCCTATAATTTAGGATCTCAACCTAAGAACACATATTTTAGTTATACCATTCCCATCTATCTCCCCTGTGATAGACTACAAAATTGCAATTCTTTGCAATTTCTCTCATCAAGAGATGGGGTCTGTTTCCCATCCCTTGAAGCGGGTTGGCTTTGTAATTTGCTTTGTTTAATAGCAAGAGGCAGGAGCCATGTTATACTAATTTTCAGCCTAGGCTTTAAGGGGATTTGCGTTATTTCCTTTGCTGCTCCTAGGACCCTTGGACTAGCCTGGACTAGCCTGTTGGAGAATAAGGAACCATATGGAACCCTCAGAGAAGTCATTTGAAACTAGCATGTCCTCAGATGACCCAATTGCTGCCCATAGGTGCATGAGTGAGCAGAGTGTGGTCAAGCCCAGCCCTGATCAGCAGAACACTTAATTAAGCCTAACCTGAACTCACAAACCATAGTATCATGAGCCAAATAAATGGTTGTGGTTATAAGCTCTAAGTTTTGGGGTGGTTTATTTAACATAGCAAAAGCTAATTGATTTTAATTCATTATATTTTTACCTGAAAGAGTAAATTTATAGGAGAATATTACCATCTCAGGGTCAATATTAAATTTATTGCTCCACAATCTATATTCACTGAGAAATACACTAAATATGTATTAGATAAATACTCTTACCTTAATGGGATTCCTATAGAAAGACTGTTTTCCAGAAGATGGAAATGACATTGCAATAATGCGATCTGGAAGCCAAAATAATCACTATTATGAATGTCATTATAGTTGTGAACCAATATAAAAAATTTAATTTACACATAGTGAGACTCCTTTTTTCATAGCAAAGAGAACTTTCAAGATTTAGAACGACAGAAAAAAGCTAACTAACATTCATGAAAATAGAGA